GGCGGTGGCGCTGCTGCTGGTGCTGAGGACCCGGACGTTGGAGCTGCTACTGGTGCTGAGGACCCGGACGGTGGAGCTGCTGCTGGAGCTGAGGACCCGAGCGGTGGCGCTGCTGCTGCTGCTGAGGACCCGGCCGGTGGAGCTGCTGCTGGTGCTGTGGACCCAGACGCTGGAGCTCCTACTGGTACTGAGGACCCGGCCGCTGGAGTCTCTTCTGCTTCTGGAGACGCTGCGCGGCCGCGACCGTACTTCGTACCGCTCCTTCAGCAGGTTCTTGGGCAGGCTCCTCCTCCTTGTCCTCCTCCCTCCGTAGAGTGTCCTCCGCCTATCCAGCCGCAGTCACAGTTACCGCCTACCTCGCCTCTCCCTGCTCCCTCTCCTTACACTGGTCCCACAGGAGGTCTTACAGAGCGTCGTGAGCCTGAGTCTCGTCTTGCGTCGCCTGTTCGTCCTGCTCGCACTGGTAGTCGTGTCCGTCGTGAGCGTCCTCCTCCTGTCCCAGGCACTCACTACATGACTCTGCGTCCCTCTACTGCTCCTCAGCGTGTCCCTCTACCGTCTCCTCCTGCGTCCTCTTTGCTTGACGTTCCGGACCCTGAGTCTGACCGGTATCGTGCTGAGCACCCTACTGTCACGCGTCTCCTCGCTACTGTTGTCACTGACCCTACCTTTGCGTCCTCTGCTGCGTCTGCTCTGGTCGCTGAGTTGGTTGACTTTGCTGCTGCCTGTCGTCTAGACTACGCTGCTAGCCTTGTTGCTGAGTCTGAGTCTGAGTCTGTCTGTCCTCCGTCCGTCGGGGGTGAGTGTGCTCTTGGCACGGACGTCCTTGAGGACAGACAGGAGGAGTTCCAGTGTCTTGCTGCTGCTTTGCCCCGTCTCGTGTCCTTGCTAGTTGCCCCTGAGGGAGACCCGGATGCACCAGACATCCCGACCCCGCGCACTTACGCTGAGGCGATGGCGGGTCCCTACTCCTCTCAGTGGCAGACAGCCATGGACGCCGAGATGGCTTCCTGGAAGTCCACACGCACCTACGTCGACGAGGTTCCCCCTCCTGGGGCGAACATCGTCAGTGGCATGTGGATTTTCAGGGTGAAGCGGCCGCCGGGTTCTCCGCCTGTCTTTAAGGCGCGTTACGTGGCTCGAGGCTTCAGTCAGCGAGAGGGAGTTGACTTCTTCCAGACCTTCTCCCCCACCCCGAAGATGACTACTCTTCGGGTGCTGCTGCACATAGCCGCTCACCGCGACTACGAGCTTCACTCACTTGACTTCAGCACTGCTTTCTTGCAGGGCAGCCTGCACGAGGAGATCTGGCTGCGCCGCCCACCTGGCTTCACTGGGTCGTTTCCTCCTGGTACCCAGTGGAGGCTTCAGCGGCCGGTCTACGGTCTCCGCCAGGCTCCGCGTGAGTGGCACGACACACTGAGGACTACACTTGCGGCTCTTGGGTTCGCGCCTTCTACAGCTGACCCGTCGCTGTTCCTGCGCACCGACACTTCGCTGCCGCCGTTCTACATCCTCGTGTACGTCGACGACTTGGTCTTTGCCACTGCTGACACTGCAGGACTCGCCTACGTGAAGTCGGAGCTGCAGAGGAGACACACGTGCACAGACCTGGGTGACCTGACAAGCTATCTTGGCTTGCGGATCACCCGGGACAGAGCACGGCGCACCATCACCCTGACTCAGTCACACATGGTGCAGCAGGTTCTCCAGCGCTTCCGCTTCACGTACTCCTCGCCTCAGTCCACTCCTCTGCCTACCGGTCACTCGCTCTCAGCTCTGCCTTCGGATGAGTCCGTAGAGCCGAGTGGCCCGTATCCAGAGCTTGTGGGCTGCCTCATGTACCTGATGACCTGCACTCGACCTGACCTTGCATACCCTCTTAGCATCCTTGCACGCTATGTCGCTCCTGGCCGTCACCGGAAGGAGCACATGGATGCCGCTAAGAGGGTGTTGCGCTACTTGTGCAGTACGTCGGGCATGGGGCTAGTGCTTGGAGGGCGAGACCGAGTTGTTCTCACAGGGCACTCAGACGCTTCTTGGGCAGACGACCAGGCCACTCAGCGGTCGTCTCAGGGTTACACCTTCAGCCTTGGCTCTGGCTCAGTTTCTTGGTGCTCTACACGCTCTTCTTCTGTTCTCGGCTCCAGTTGCGAGGCTGAGATCTACGCTACAGCCATGGCTGCCCAGGAGCTACGCTGGTTGACCTACCTGCTGACCGACCTCGGAGAGCGGCCTCGTTCTCCTCCAGTACTGTACGTCGACAACAAGGCTGCCATTGCCTTGTGTGAGGAGCACAGACTGGAGCACAGAACGAAGCACATCGCCCTGCAGTACTTCCTTGCTCGAGAGCTGCAGCAGCGCGGTCAGCTTTGTATTCGCTACGTGGCCACTGAGGCCAACACTGCTGATGTGTTCACCAAGGCGCTTCAGCCTCGTGACCATCAGCGCTTCTGCACTCTACTAGGCCTTGTGCCTACTGGACCTCACTTGCTTACCTCTTGACTTTGCTTGTACTGTGATCACTATATATATCTATACCTGCATGTTTACTCTTGCTAGGTTGTGATCACTATATCTCTTGCTCTGTTATAAACCTGCATGTGAACTGGTCTTGTGACCACTAGCTTGCGCTCGGAATTTGTGTGGAATCCTTGAGATCCACCCTGAGCTTGTTGTTGCCTTGCTTTGCCTTGACTGGTCTTGTGACCCCTAGGTCTCCCCCACTTTGCCTATGGGGGTGTGTCAAACATTATACATGTTGTATTTGTGTAGGCTGTAGTGGGTTAGCCTATAGGGGGGTCACAACATTAGGGTTTCATATTTTGTACTCACCATGCTTGCTAGTCCATCATTCCTGCCTGTTCATTCTGACACTTCAGCCTCGTGACCATCAGCGCTTCTGCACTCTACTAGGCCTTGTGCCTACTGGACCTCACTTACTTACCTCTTGACTTTGCTTGTACTGTGATCACTATATATATCTATACCTGCATGTTTACTCTTGCTAGGTTGTGATCACTGTATCTCTTGCTCTGTTATAAACCTGCATGTGAACTGGTCTTGTGACCACTAGCTTGTGCTCGGAATTTGTGTGGAATCCTTGAGATCCACCCTGAGCTTGTTGTTGTCTTGCTTTGCCTTGACTGGTCTTGTGACCCCTAGGTCTCCCCCACTTTGCCTATGGGGGTGTGTCAAACATTATACATGTTGTATTTGTGTAGGCTGTAGTGGGTTAGCCTATAGGGGGGTCACAACATTAGGGTTTCATATTTGTACTCACAATCCTTGCTAGTTCATCATTCCAGTCCGTTCTCGTTGACAGAAAATTGCCTACTCCATGACCTGTATTGGTGCGGCTGTTTTCGCGTCTCGGGGCTACAAGCGCCCAAAACGAGCAATTTTCTTCGACGTGACGACGTTATTTGTGAGTTTACGAACCTCCAATTGTGCCCGAAAGTGCTTGAGAGTGAAGCAAGAACGATTGGTCACGGAGCTCCACGACGGAAAATTGCCTGCTCCATGATCTGTATCAGTGCGGCTGTTTTCGCGTCTCGGGGCTACAAACGCCTGAAACGAGCGTTTTCCTTCAACGTGAAGACGTCATTCGTGAGTTCACGGACCTGCGATTATGCTGGAAAGTGCCCGGGAGTAAAGCGAGAACGATTGGTCACGGAGCTCCACGACGGAAAATTGTCTGCTCTGTGACCTGTATTGGTGCGCTGGTTCTGAACGTTTTTCTTCCGTCGGGTCACGTGGCTGCGCTTGTCTGGTCCTCTTGCCAGCGAATGAAGAGCGCCCGCTGCACTTCCTGCACGCGTGCGGATCCTACCGTGTTTTGGGTGTGGAAGCGCTCGTTCCGAGCGTTTTTCTTCTGTCGGGTCGTGTGGCGCGCTTGACTGGTCCTCTTGCCAATCCAGCAAGGGCGTGGGAGGGTTGCGAGCATCATCGGTCGTCGGCGCTCGCGAATGAAGAGCGCCCGCTGCACTTAGTCCATGCGTGCGGATCCTTCCGCGTTTTGGGGGTGGAAGTGCTCGTTCCGAGCGTTTTTCTTCCGCCGGGTCACGTGGATGCGCTTGTCTGGTCCTCTTGCCAAGCCAGCAAGGGCGTGGGAGGGTTGCGAGCATCATCGGTCGTCGGCGCTCGCGAATGAAGAGCGCCCGCTGCACTTACTGCATGCGTGATGATCCTTCCGCGTTTTGGGGGTGGAAGTGCTCGTTCCGAGCGTTTTCTTATGCCTGGTCACGTGGCTGCGCTTGTCTGGTCCTCTTGCCAAGCCAGCAAGGGCGTGGGAGGGTTGCGAGCATCATCGGTCGTCGGCGCTCGCGAATGAAGAGCGTCCGCTGCACTTCCTGCACGCGTGCGGATCCTTCCGCGTTTTGGGGGTGGAAGCGCTCGTTCCGAGCGTTTTTCTGCAACTTAAAGACGTCATTCGTGAGTTAACAGACCTGCGATTATGCTGGAAAGTGCCAGGGAGTGAAGCGAGAACGATTGGTCACGGAGCTCCACGACGGAAAATTGCCTGCTCCATGACCTGTATCGGTGCGGCTGTTTTCGCGTCTCGGGGCTACAAACGCCCGAAACGAGCGTTTTTCTTCAACGTGAAGACGCCATTCGTGAGTTCACGGACCTGCAATTATGCTGGAAAGTGCCAGGGAGTGAAGCGAGAACGATTGGTCACGGAGCTCCACGACGGAAAATTGCCTACTCCATGACCTGTATTGGTGCGGCTGTTTTCGCGTCTCGGGGCTACAAGCGCCCAAAACGAGCAATTTTCTTCGACGTGAAGACGTCATTTGTGAGTTTACAAACCTCCAATTGTGCCCGAAAGTGCTTGAGAGTGAAGCGAGATCGATTGGTCACGGAGCTCCACGACGGAAAATTGCCTGCTCCATGACCTGTATCGGTGCGGCTGTTTTCGCGTCTCGGGGCTACAAATGCTCAAAACGAGCGTTTTTCTTCAACATGAAGACGTCATTCGTGAGTTCCTGGATCTGCGATTATGCTGGAAAGTGCCAGGGAGTGAAGCGAGAACGATTGGTCACGGAGCTCCACGACGGAAAATTGCCTGCTCCATGACCTGTATCGGTGCGGCTGTTTTCGCGTCTCGGGGCTACAAACGCCCGAAACGAGCGTTTTTCTTCAACGTGAAGACGCCATTCGTGAGTTCACGGACCTGCGATTATGCTGGAAAGTGCCAGGGAGTGAAGCGAGAACGATTGGTCACGGAGCTCCACGACGGAAAATTGCCTGCTCTATGACCTATATCGGTGCGGCTGTTTTTGTTAGAAACAATAGGAGTGGGGCCTAGGCTTAGTAGCCTAGGCCCACACTAGGAGGTAGTAGGTTGTGCCCTAGGACTAGGGTTTGTGGTATACGAAAGAGAATTGGAGAAGTGAGAATGGGAATGATGATTTGAACTAGCAAGCAGCAGGATACATATAGGAAACCCTAAGGGGTTGTACTCACTATTGAGCACCCCACTGCAGGCTAGACAAATAACATAATCTGACACACCCCCATAGCCAAAGTGGGGTGTAATCAGCACACGTGAGAAGTCACAGCAATAGTTCACAATTATCAGCAAAGCTAGTGGCAGTCACAGGAGGCCAGTGAGGAGGAGGAGGAACTGTGGAGGGAGAGAAGAGAGGAGGCGACGACTGAAGTTGCAGACACACGGGCACCAGGAGCACCAGGCTGCAACCTCCTCCAACTGTCTCACTCCCCCCTACACACACCCCCAGGGTCACCACTCGCTCCTCGCCCACATCACCCCCCTAGCGCCACTCCCTCGTCTCCCACACATCCACCCCCCCGCAGCGGCAGCTGCAGCAGTGGGAGACGGAGGAGAAGGTAGGGGCGACGCACAAGGAGCACCCCCACACCCGCCACCCCCACACCCTCCTGTCCAGGGGACGTGGGGTGGAGGGGGGGGGGGGGAGGGCCGGGGCGGGAGAGCGCACGAGGGCGCAGGCAACCGCGCGTGCAGAGCAACAGCGCGGAGCAGGTAGGGTAGAGCGCACGAGGGCGCGGGCAACCGCGCGTGCAGAGCAACAGCGCGGAGCAGGTAGGGTAGAGCGCACGAGGGCGCGGGCAACCGCGCGTGCAGAGCAACAGCGCGGAGCAGGTAGGGTAGAGCGCACGAGGGCGCGGGCAACCGCGCGTGCAGAGCAACAGCGCGGAGCAGGTAGGGTAGAGCGCACGAGGGCGCGGGCAACCGCGCGTGCAGAGCAACAGCGCGGAGCAGGTAGGGTAGAGCGCACGAGGGCGCGGGCAACCGCGCGTGCAGAGCAACAGCGCGGAGCAGGTAGGGTAGAGCGCACGAGGGCGCGGGCAACCGCGCGTGCAGAGCAACAGCGCGGAGCAGGTAGGGTAGAGCGCACGAGGGCGCGGGCAACCGCGCGTGCAGAGCAACAGCGCGGAGCAGGTAGGGTAGAGCGCACGAGGGCGCGGGCAACCGCGCGTGCAGAGCAACAGCGCGGAGCAGGTAGGGTAGAGCGCACGAGGGCGCGGGCAACCGCGCGTGCAGAGCAACAGCGCGGAGCAGGTAGGGTAGAGCGCACGAGGGCGCGGGCAACCGCGCGTGCAGAGCAACAGCGCGGAGCAGGTAGGGTAGAGCGCACGAGGGCGCGGGCAACCGCGCGTGCAGAGCAACAGCGCGGAGCAGGTAGGGTAGGGCGCGGGTGAGACTGAGCGCGACTGCACAGGGTCCAGGAGCGGCGTCGCGGGCAGCTGCATGTGGCGGGCAACTCCAGGGGCGGCTGCTGCAGTGGCGGGCGACTCCAGGGGCGGCTGCTGCAGTGGCGGGCGGCTCCAGGGGCGGCTGCTGCAGTGGCGGGCGGCTCCAGGGGCGGCTGCTGCTGTGGCGGGCGACTCCAGGGGCGGCCGCTGCAGTGGCGAGCGGCTCCAGGGGCGGCTGCTGCTGTGGCGGGCGACTCCAGGGGCGGCTGCTGCAGTGGCGGGCGGCTCCAGGGGCGGCTGCTGCAGTGGCGAGCGGCTCGAGGCGCGCCCTGGCCTGGCGCAGTCCGTACGGGCCGCGCTGGCGCTCGCGGCTGGCCGTGGCGCTGGCGTCCGCGCGGGGCGACGAAAGGGGGGGCGCGGGGCGACGAAACGGGGGCCGCGGGCGACGGGAACGGGGGGCCGCGGGCGACGGGAACGGGGGGCCGCGGGCGACGGGAACGGGGGGCCGCGGGCGACGGGAACGGGGGGGCCGCGGGCGACGGGAACGGGGGGCCGCGGGCGACGGGAACGGGGGGCCGCGGGCGACGGGAACGGGGGGCCGCGGGCGACGGGAACGGGGGTCCGTGGGCGACGGGAACGACGCGGGGCGACGCGGGGCGACGCGGGGGCGACGGGGCAGAAAGCCGCCGCGCGCCTCGGGGCGCACGGTAGGCAGAAAACCGCCGCGCGCCTCGGGGCGCACGGCGGGCAGAAAACCGCCGCACGCTTCGAGGGCGCGGCGGGATGAAAAAATAGGTTTCGCCGCCGCGCACCACGGGGCGCGCGGCGGACACTACGGCAGCGGAAGCAGGTGGTGGGCCCATAGAGGTAAGCGGCAGGAACGTGCTCGCTCTAGATACCATGTTAGAAACAATAGGAGTGGGGCCTAGGCTTAGTAGCCTAGGCCCACACTAGGAGGTAGTAGGTTGTGCCCTAGGACTAGGGTTTGTGGTATACGAAGGAGAATTGGAGAAGTGAGAATGGGAATGATGATTTGAACTAGCAAGCAGCAGGATACATATAGGAAACCCTAAGGGGTTGTACTCACTATTGAGCACCCCACTGCAGGCTAGACAAATAACATAATCTGACAGTTTTCGTGTCTCGGGGCTACAAACGCCCGAAACGAGCGTTTTTCTTCAATGTGAAGACGTCACTCGTTAGTTCACGGACCTGCCATTATGCTGGAAATTGTCAGGGAGTGAAGCGAGAACGATTGGTCACGGAGCTCCACGACGGAAAATTGCCTGCTCCATGACCTGTATCGGTGCGGCTGTTTTCGCGTCTCGGGGCTACAAACGCCTGAAACGAGCGTTTTCCTTTAACGAGAAGACGTCATTCGTGACTTCACCTTCCTGCGATTATGCTGGAAAGTGCCCGGGAGTAAAGCGAGAACGATTGGTCACGGAGCTCCACGACGGAAAATTGCCTGCTCCGTGACCTGTATCGGTGCGCTCGTTCCGAACGTTTTTCTTCCGTCGGGTCACGTGGCTGCGCTTGTCTGGTCCTCTTGCCAAGCCAGCAAGGGCGTGGGAGGGTTGCGAGCATCATCAGTCATCGGCGCTTGCGAATGAAGAGCGCCCGCTGCACTTCCTGCACGCGTGCGGATCTTACCGCGTTTTGGGTGTGGAAGCGCTCGTTCCGAGCGTTTTTCTTCTGTCGGGACGTGTGGCTGCGCTTGACTGGTCCTCTTGCCAAGCCAGCAAGGGCGTGGAAGGGTTGCGAGCATCATCGGTCGTCGGCGCTCGCGAATGAAGAGCGCCCGCTGCACTTAGTCCATGCGTGCGGATCCTTCCGCGTTTTGGGGGTGGAAGTGCTCGTTCCGAGCGTTTTTCTTCCGCCGGGTCACGTGGCTGCGCTTGTCTGGTCCTCTTGCCAAGCCAGCAAGGGCGTGGGAGGGTTGCGAGCATCATCGGTCGTCGGCGCTCGCGAATGAAGAGCGCCCGCTGCACTTACTGCATGCGTGCGGATCCTTCCGCGTTTTGGGGGTGGAAGTGCTCGTTCCGAGCGTTTTTCTTATGCCTGGTCACGTGGCTGCGCTTGTCTGGTCCTCTTGCCAAGCCAGCAAGGGCGTGAAAGGGTTGCGAGCATCATCGGTCGTCGGCGCTCGCGAATGAAGAGCGTCCGCTGCACTTCGTGCATGCGTGCGGATCCTTCCGCGTTTTGGGGGTGGAAGCGCTCGTTCCGAGCGTTTTTCTGCAACGTAAAGACGTCATTCGTGAGTTCACGGACCTGCGATTATGCTGGAAAGTGCCAGGGAGTGAAGCGAGAACGATTGGTCACGGAGCTCCACGACGGAAAATTGCCTGCTCCATGACCTGTATCGGTGCGGCTGTTTTCGCGTCTCGGGGCTACAAGCGCCCAAAACGAGCAATTTTCTTCAACGTGAAGACGTCATTTGTGAGTTCACGGACCTGCGATTATGCTGGAAAGTGCCCGGGAGTAAAGCGAGAACGATTGGTCACTGAGATCCACGACGGAAAATTGCCTGCTCTGTGACCTGTATCGGTACGATGGTTCCGAACGTTTTTCTTCCGTCGGGTCACGTGGCTGCGCTTGTCTAGTCCTCTTGCCAAGCCAGCAAGAGCGTGGGAGGGTTGCGAGCATCATTGGTCATCGGCGCTCGCGAATGAAGAGCGTCCGCTGCACTTCCTGCACGCGTGCGGATCCTTCCACGTTTTGGGGGTGGAAGCGCTCGTTCCGAGCGTTTTTCTTCCGCCGGGTCACGTGGCTGCGCTTGTCTGGTCCTCTTGCCAAGCCAGCAAGAGCGTGGGAGGGTTGCGAGCATCATCTGTCGTCAGCGCTCGCAAATGAAGAGCGTCCGCTGCACTTCCTGCACGCGTGCGGATCCTTCCGCGTTTTGGGGGTGGAAGCGCTCGTTCCGAGCGTTTTTCTGCAACGTAAAGACGTCATTCGTGAGTTCACGGACCTGCGATTATGCTGGAAAGTGCTAGGGAGTGAACCGAGAATGATTGGTCATGGAGCTCCACGACGGAAAATTGCCTGCTCCATGACCTGTATCGGTGCGGCTGTTTTCGCGTCTCGGGGCTACAAACGCCCGAAACGAGCGTTTTTCTTCAACGTGAAGACGTCATTCATGAGTTCACGGACCTGCAATTATCCTGGAAAGTGCCAGGGAGTGAAGCGAGAACGATTGGTCACGGAGCTCCACGACGGAAAATTGCCTACTCCATGACCTGTATCGGTGCGGCTGTTTTCGCGTCTCGGGGCTACAAGCGCCCAAAACGAGCAATTTTCTTCAACGTGAAGACGTCATTTGTGAGTTTACGGACCTCCAATTGTGCTGGAAAGTGCTTGAGAGTGAAGCAAGAACGATTGGTCACGGAGCTCCACGACGGAAAATTGCCTGCTCCATGACCTGTATCGGTGCGGCTGTTTTCTTGTCTCGGGGCTACAAATGCTTGAAACGAGCGTTTTCCTTCAACGTGAAGACGTCATTTGTGAGTTCACGGACCTGCGATTATGCTGGAAAGTGCTCAGGAGTAAAGCGAGAACGATTGGTCACGGAGCTCCACGACGGAAAATTGCCTGCTCCGTGACTTATATCGGTACGATGGTTCCGAACGTTTTTCTTCCGTCGGGTCACGTGGCTGCGCTTGTCTGGTCCTCTTGCCAAGCCAGCAAGGGCGTGGGAGGGTTGCGAGCATCATCGGTCGTCGGCGCTCGCGAATGAAGAGCGCCCGCTGCACTTCCTGCACGCGTGCGGATCCTCCCGCGTTTTGGGTGTGGAAGCGCTCGTTCCGAGCGTTTTTCTTCCGACGACTCATGTGGCTGCGCTTGTCTGGTCCTCTTGCCAAGCTAGTGTCAGAGGTCCACTGGTGATCCCCGATTGATCCTAGGGAAGGGTTACAGGCACGTTGGCCTGGGGGGTTATGGGCGCACTCACCCGCTACACAAACAAGCCCTTTTATCCCAGTAGTTAGTGGCTGGGATTCTGACATGGTATCAGAGCGAAGGTCTCGGGTTCGAATCCCGGTGTGTGCACCTCGGGCATCCCAGTGCGAGGGGGTGTCAGAGGTCCACTGGTGATCCCCGATTGATCCTAGGGAAGGGTTACAGGCACGTTGGCCTGGGGGGTTATGGGCGCACTCACCCGCTACACAAACAAGCCCTTTTATCCCAGTGGTTAGTGACTGGGATTCTGACAGCTAGCAAGGGCAAGGGAGGGTTGCGAGTATCATCGGTCATCGGCACTCGCGAATGAAGAGCGCCCGCTGCACTTACTGCATGCGTGCGAATCCTTCCGCGTTTTGGGGGTGGAAGCGCTCGTTCCAAGCGTTTTTTTGCAACGTAAAGACATCATTCGTGAGTTCACAGACCTGCGATTATGCTGGAAAGTGCCAGGGAGTGAAGCGAGAATAATTGGTCACGGATCTCCACGACGGAAAATTGCCTGCTCCATGACATGTATCGGTGCGGCTGTTTCCTCGTCTCGGGGCTATAAACGCCCGAAACGAGCGTTTTTCTTCAACGTGAAGACGCCATTCGTGAGTTTACGGACCTGCAATTATGCTGGAAAGTGCCAGGGAGTGAAGCGAGAACGATTGATCACGAAGCTCCACGACGGAAAATTGCCTACTCCATGACCTGTATTGGTGCGGCTGTTTTCGCGTCTCGGGGCTACAAGCGCCCAAAACGAGCAATTTTCTTCAACGTGAAGACGTCATTTGTGAGTTTACGGACCTCCAATTGTGCTGGAAAGTGCTTGAGAGTGAAGCAAGAACGATTGGTCACGGAGCTCCACGACGGAAAATTGCCTGCTCCATGACCTGTATCGGTGCGGCTGTTTTCGCGTCTCGGGGCTACAAACGCCTGAAACAACGTTTTCCTTCAACGTGAAGACGTCATTTGTGAGTTTACGGACCTGCGATTATGCTGGAAAGTGCCCGGGAGTAAAGCGAGAACGATTGGTCACGGAGCTCCACGACGGAAAATTGCCTGCTCCGTGACCTGTATCGGTGCGCTCGTTCCGAACGTTTTTCTTCCGTCGGGTCACG